CCAACCCTGGCCTTGTGAGCCCATGCCTCCTCCATGCCTGTCTTGCCTTAAAGCTGCCAATGTGGACATCCACACGACTCCTCAGAATGCCCCTCTGCTGTTTGGGCAGCAGAGTGAGGCCAAAGAGCAGGGGGTTATACTGTACCAAAAGATGAGCCAATTGAGTTCATGACTCACAGCATGGCACTCTCATGAGCTCCTAGGTTTGGGATGCTGTGGGCTCAAAAAAAAGGAGTTTCCACAAGTCAGTGCTCTGATTTTAATTTCAGTGTCCAATTTGATCATCCCTCAAGCTAAGCTACTAGGAAGTGTTTGAGCTTCTTTCCTACCCTTTACCCAGTAAAAAAACAAATCTGAAATTGTAGTTCTCATTCTTTATAGTGAATTTTTAACTGTACTAGTGCTGGGAGGAACTTTGTCAGCAACATGGAATATGAGAGAGGGACAGGATGACCGGAGCAATCAAGGCCATCTCCTGCCAGGGGAGTCAAAACTGCTCACCAGCTTGAAGTGAGAACAGGGTGGGGGAACTCAGCAAAACCCATTGTGCAGCAGATCACTCTGGGGTACAACTCAAAAGCCAAAATGACAGTGCTGGATTTTCTTAAAGGACTCCTCAGCTAACTACAAGATACTGGTAGGGTATTGATGGCATGTTGAAACATTTATTAGATATATTGATTTATTTTTTCCTGTCATATAACTAATTCAAATACAAATTAAGTTTGTAATGTCTCCATCAAGTTTGTCACTCTCATCTGTGAACTGGGGACACTGCAAAATCTCCCAAGACAGCTGACAACAGTCAGAGCTGTAGCAATCATAGGGTAAACAGACTAAATGTGGAGTAGGTCAGCATCAGTTCAAGTTCTGTCCTGCAGAAGAATCACCCAAACTACCACCTTGTCCTGGACTTGGTTTTCAGTCTGAAGTCCTTAGGGTACTTCTTCCTCTGGATTGTTCAGTTGTTCTCTTTGACATACTGGTGTGTCCTTTGCCATTTCTAGTTCTCTGTGCTCAAGACTGTATTTAACCCCACGAGTTAATGCCTTTAACAATGGCAGTGTGTTCCCTTTGGATGCAGCAAACAAAATTCAAATACACCTATTTCCTACTGCTCTATATGTGTTTCCTGATCCCCAGGTTTTAATACGGAAGTTTGACGATGTGGCTTCTGCATTTCGATGTTGGAAACAAGGCTGACTGCATGTTTCTATGGTAAGTGTTCACATCTGGAGGGGATTTGTGAATGCCATAAGAATTGGATTCCTCAAACAGAAGTGAGTAAGACCCCTGGTGATGCACGTGGATGTGGCTTTGTGAATGTCAGGTGAATAGCACTGATTTACATTTCTTTATAAAAAGACTGTGGCATTGTTTGAATTTAATCTCCAATTCCAGTAGTTTTAATTTTTACTGAAGCCTTCAGGAAAAGAGGACAATTAGTTTTTATATTCTCCTGTCTGCTCATTGTAGAGAGGAAAGCAGTGCCAAGGTTTTGGAAGATTTGTGGTGTCTGGAAATGGTCTGGCAATCCTCTTATCCCCAGCTGATATTTTCTGAACACACCAACTTTTGGAAAGACCCAGTGTGTGCCCTCAGTTTATTGAAGTAAATAAGGGCATGACACACAAGCCACTGCTATGTGTCATGCCAGCCCTGTTGTTGGTTCTTCTGGCTCTAAGGTGATTCACCAGTATCCTGAAAAACAGGCAGCCCTGGCACTGCTGGTCACCCCACACTAGCATGGGAATGCCTGCTCTGGGGAAGCACAGCACATACTGCTAAAGAGAAACCAGCTCCTCCTTTTCCTGAAACATGGAAAAACTTGTTTCAGGAGTAACAAATAAAGCTATGATTGCCTCTTTCCCTTTCACAAAGGTTCCAGGGCAAATAAAACATTCTTACTGCTGTTAAAGTTTTTTTTTAATTATCATTATATTAACAGAGTATGACCATTATATTCCATTCCTTTTTCCCTTAGGCACTTTTAAATTGTTGAAATGCTATGGCTTTTTTCCATCTCCTTTTGTTGTACTACAAAATGTACATCATATTCCCTAACACTTAACTCCACCACTGTTCCATGTCCTCTCTCACATCTGTTTGAACATTCCTGTGTCTCAGTTTGGCAGGCTGCTCCCCTGGCCTTTTCAACACAACCTCCAACCACCTCCTTTATACCCACCTGCTTCACTTACATAGCTGCACCTACACTGCCTGCAAGACACCTTTTCTGCTCAGGCTTTTACCCCTGGTGAGCCTCGTGTCCTTAGTTTATTTAACCAAAGTACAGTGAAGGTACAGTCAAGGTAAGAAATGAATGAAAGAAATCTTGAAACAACAACAAAAAATTCTTAAGCTGTTGCTGTATATGCTACAACTTCAGTTACAGTCTTCCCTCAGGCTGTGCTCCTAATGATGGAGCAATATCCCAATTTACACAAGAAAATCAGGGACTTCAAAAGGAGTTTCTAACCTCATTGATCTGGTTGTACAGCACTGCAGGGAGCAGAGATCTGTAGTGTTTAACTGGTGTGGGATGTGAAGCTGATCCCCTGAGGCTTTTGCTGTTCACATTGGCTGTCCATTGCAAATCTGGCTTAGCCATGCACCAGAGCCTTTAAGCAAAGGCAGACACACAAATGAGACAGCTCTGCAAAGGAAAGGAGCAATTTTTTCTCCCTCGGCAGCAAGCATGCAGTCACTTCCCAGTGCCATAATTTTGAATTTCTTGGTCCAATTTTCCTTAGCTTAGTACCAGCAGGTAAGATACCTAGAGCTTCGTTTGTCACACATGCATTTCTCAGTCTCAGTGCATTTCTCAGATCACAGAATCACAGAAGATGCTGAGTTGGAAGGGACCCATCAGGATTATCGAGTCCAACTCCTGGCCCTGACCCCAAGAATCACACCCTGTGCCTGAGTGTGTTATTCAAACACTTCTTGAAACCAGACAGGCTCGGTGCTGTGACCACTTCCTTGGGAAGCCTGTTTCAGTGCTCAGCCACTTTTGGATGGAAAACTTTTTTCTGATATCAAACCTAAATCTCCCCTGACTCAGCTTCATGATTTTTCCTCAAGTCCTGTTCCTGGTCACGAGAATGAAGAGATTGACACTTGTTCCTTTGCTTCCCCTCATGAGGATGTTGAAGACCACAATGAGGTCTCCCAGTCTCCTCCAGACTGAACAAACCAAGAAAACTGCTGAAATTCACATTCTGGGGAAAGCTGAAGACAGAGGTCAGATTTTTTTTTTTTTTCAACTGGTGTTACTAAGACCAGGACCTAGTAAGACCACCTTCATCTAATCTTTTAGACTGATTTGTCTCTTTTTGTGCTCTTAATAATGAGGATGCACCTACAGACAAGTGTTTTAATGCTTTTATTAACTACATATTGGGCATTTGCTCAAATTTCCTTAATTTTAGCAGGAAACAAAAAGTAAAGAGCTGAATATAAAAAATATACACTTGCCCTACATATACAATGGGACACAGAAGACTAGTTTAATTCCCAGAGGACGCTGTTTTCATTTTATTGAAAGGCCACATCATTTTAGCATTGACAAACTCCTGCTAAGGAAGGAGTCTTGTATGTTAGGGGACAGGAACAACAAGACTGAAAAAACATAAGACTAGACATCAGTTTCTTGTTTTGCCAAGTGGAGCTTTGATACAGACAGCTAACAAGAACAGTTTCTGAAGCATTTTCTGGTCAAAGGACTCTGAATAGAGCAGCTGTACAGACAGGTGACAGATTCACCTTCTGCCTATGGAAAGGGACCAGCAGAAAAGGATTAAGAGGCTGCAGCCTGTGCCAGGATGGGTGTGTGGTGTGAAGGGCTGGGAGCATGCCATGCCAACCCCATACCTTTGAGCCTGAGTAAGACAGAGAAGGTGATTGGGAAAAGCGCAAGTGGAGAGGAAAATGAAGGAGCTTTGGGCTCCGTAAGAAGGCTGACCTTGGGAAGGGTCATCACAGTGACAAGTCAGTCAGTCGTGCAGGGCAGGAGAAAAGGACGTGCTGTGTGAGGCACAGAGCAGCAGGGCAGATGTGAGAGCCATGCAGACTCTTGTCACCCATGGTGAACACACCACAGCACAGGGAGCACCCATCACACACTGTGGGTGTTGTAGCTGCAACACCCTGTGAAGAGGAATGGAAAGGTGGGTGCCAGTTGGATGGGGATCAACAGGAAACTAAATAAAAGACTGTAAATAGATTGTTTAGATTGATTGAGTGCAAAGGACAAGAACAATATGAGAAACACTTTGGCAATTTTGTTTTTTATTCTTTCTCCTCCTCCTCACCAAAAGGAGTTACTTTGTAATGTAAAAATCCACCTCTTTAGCTGTCACAACCTGCCTAGAGCTGGTTGACAGCTGGGTGTCCATCCCATACACACACTTGCACCCCTCCATGCAACAAATGTTGTTTATGTATTACAAGCTGACACTCCAGCCTGGATATCGTACTAGGGAAAATGCACTCAAGTAGCTGGATTCAGCACCATGTCCTCGCATTAGTGCGGATGTTATTATTCTGTTTCGCCTATGTTCCTTACACCTTGGCCCTGCGGACGTCAGGTGCTGTCGCGCCACCCTGTTAAACATTAACCGCCTGGTTTTCCATCGCAGCACCTCAGCTTCTGGGGTAAAGCCAAAGCCGGGAGCGCGGGTCGGGCTGCAGAGAGGGGCCGGCCCGCTCATTGCAGCGCAGCTTCTGCCCTTGGGCACGGCGCGCTCTGCTCCGGCGGCCTCTGCGCTCCGGCCGCGGCCGATGCCCTGGCGTGCCCGGCGGGAATGCGGCACGCGGCGCTGCCGGACAGGCGGACCCCGGGCCGGGCACCCCGCCTGACGCAACCCGCGCCCCGCTTTGCCCCACGCGCGGCGCCGCGAAACCTCCCGCCCTCGTTGCATCACCCGGGCGGGCGGGGCGGGCGGCCCGGGCCGCCTTTAAAGCGCCGCGGCGGCCGAGCCGCGACACCGCCACCGCCGCAGCGCCGCGATGAAGCGCGACCCGCAGCTCCCCGAGGAGAGCCCGGAGCCGCCGCCACGCCCGCCCCTCTCCTCCTCCTCCTCCTCCTCCTCGTCGCTCTCGGGGCAGGCGGAGGGCGCGGAGCTGGCGGCCCCGGTGTGGATCTTCGGGTACGGCTCGCTGGTGTGGAGGCCGGGCTTCGAGTTCACGTCGCGCAAGGTGGGCTTCATCCGCGGCTACAGCCGCCGCTTCTGGCAGGGGGACACCTTCCACCGCGGCAGCGAGAAGATGGTAAGGGCCGGGGGGCGCGGGGTGCTGGGGTGCCGCGCTCGGCTCGGCTCGGCTCGGCTCGGTTCTAACGCGCTGCCTTTCTGTGCCCACAGCCCGGGCGGGTGGTGACGCTGCTGGAGGACTGCGGGGTGAGTACCGGGGGCGCTGGGGCTGGCCTGGGCGGGGGGTGCCCGCCTCACCTCCTGGACACGTGTGGTGGCAGCCGAGTGCTCTCAAACCGCGCCGGGATCGTGGGGGGTTGTGCGGTGCGTTACCCTTCTCTGCTCTCCCCCGAGTAAGGGAGCCTTGATTTGAAACATGGGCGGGCGGCTCGACAGGCCAGTGCAGGTAGACCATCCCGTAACCACCCCGCTCTTTGACTTTCAGGCATGCACGTGGGGTGTAGCCTATGAGGTCCGTGGGGAGCAAATCGCTGCATCGCTCGAGTATCTCAACATGCGAGAAGCTGTCCTGGGAGGCTATGACACCAAGCTGGTGAAGTTCCACCCTCAGGAGAAAGATGCAGAGGAACCCATCCTGGCTCTTGTTTACATTGCAACACCCCAGAACCCTTCCTACCTTGGCCCAGCATCTGAAGAAGACATTGCAGCTCAAATCATTGTCTCAAGCGGTTGTGCTGGTCACAACATAGAGTACTTGCTGAGACTGGCAGACTTTATGCGCTACTTCTGTCCTCAAGCAGAGGATAAACATCTCTTCTCCATCGAGGAGGCTCTTATCTCCATCCTTCCTTGTCTATACTACACAGAGGAGTCTCTAGAAGAAACTGCAAGTGTCCCTCAGAAGTCTAAGGGTTGAAATAGGAAATATTTTTGCAGGTTCAGTAAAAGGGACATAAGGGAGAAGAAAGCAGTGGGGACAATCTTAACTGATAAAATATACTGGACTGAGAGTAAAGGGAGACCTAGCAAGTAGTTGGGAAGGGAGGAGGGAAGTGGAGAGTAAAAGGCTTGCTATAGGACTTGCAGTTAGTACTTGTTACACTCCTTATCTGTAGCATCACCATACCCATCACTGCTTTCCAGCTGAGGAGCTGGGATCTTCACAGGAACTCTGCTCTGTAAGACTTGCTTCTGGGAGTTAAACCTGAGGCACTCGTTTTCTGTAGAGAAAGAGGCTCATCTATTCTGTGCACTTTCTCTTTTTTTCTTACCTTTTTTTTTTTTGAAGACTAGTTGAGCAGGACTTGACTGGATTTAAGCAGTATCTATGTAATTCTACCTCAGATTGGCAAAAAACTGTGTGGTGATGGAGACTTTGGCAGATTCCGCCAAATAAAACCTTTATTTTTTTTCTCCTGCCTTGTCCCACCTCCAATGCAATCACCTGACACTAAATTTTAGAATGTTTGTGCAATATAAAGTGAACAGGCCTCTTAATGCTCTTGTGGATCCTACTTCCTTATGTTGTGAAGGATCACAGTAATGCACTTCTTTTCTAAAATGTCATACTGTATTTATTATGTGATACATTTCCTCTTAGGAGGGGTATCTAAACTACTCACATGCCACAGTGGTATGCAGCCCACGCTCAACCTTGCATTTGTGCCTTCTAGTTTTAAATCCGTTTTCTGAGGAGCTAAGCCTGCTTTAATGACAAGCTTTTCTCCAAGCTTCACTGTCCTTGTGCTGCTCCAGACGTAACTGACTCTGTAAGAAAAAGTCCTGCCTGTGTGGGAAGCCTGTGCTGCCTGCAGGGAAGGTGTCAGGATGCAGCAGACTTTTAACTAGCCCTGACCTGGATAAACCTCTGGTGCTTCAGGATGACGTGGGTTTCTGTAGAAGCATTTTTTGAGGGTTCTAGTTCCATACAGGGGTGTCTGTCTGGCACCTTCCATTTGACTGCAGAGCACCATCAGTGAGCATACTTGTATGCCTGTGAGCTGCTGAAAAGCCTGCCTTGACCATGTTAAGCAGAGGCAATGCTGCAAGCTCAGACTTTTCAGTTTCACATATTAACAGCATGAAAACCCACAGTATTTTGTGAGAAAACTGCTGCTACTGCAACTGCAGTAAAATAGCTCTTGAGAGCTGCCCCCTGGGACTGCTGGCTCCTCCCAAATGCCATGTGTTTTTTTAATTATGAAAAAGGCGAGGGACTGTTTGTATTACTGTGGCTTGTATGCATATGAAATGGTATGGTGCTGTGCCCAGTAATAAAACAAACTGACAAAGTCAATCTCATGTACTTTGGTGTTAGTCTTTTTCGTTATGGACTTAGAGTTCAAACTAAGAAGTCTTGGGTTTTTGTGGGGTTTTTTTGGTTATTGTTTTTTTGTTTTGTTGTTGGGGGTTTTTGTTTGTTTTTTGGGGTTTTTTTTTTTTGTGTGGTTCTTTTTGTTTGTTTTTTGTGGGTTTTTGTTTGTTTTTGTGGGTTTTTTAATGGTGACTTTTTTTTTTTAAACAAAGCCTTAATTGCTAATGCTGCTGAAGTTCCTATGGATTTTTTTGTGGTTTTGTTTTGGTTTTTTAAATCATCTTGCTGAGCAGCATGCCTCTGCCAAATCTAGTGGAAGAACTCAACTGACTCTTTCCCCTTGAGAAAAGGGGATTCAGTGACTTTCTCTTTCCAGCTCTTATTGATTGTGGAGTGCTGGTACTGACAACAGACACAAGCCAGCCCTCCAAACTTTGCAGGGCAGGAACAGAAATGTAATTCTTCCTTGGCAGATGAAAGGATTTTCATTCTGAGTGTAATTTGGCATTGCTGTTTCCAAGAAGTAATAGTGGACGGACCAGAAACTGCAGCTGCAGCCAGATCTGCTGGCTACTGTAAGGGAGTCAGTTATTTTTTCCTGCGTTGTGCCCCACGTGGTGTGTACAGGGGTAATGTGCACATTCCCACTCCTCTTGTTACCAGCTCCCTCAGCACCAGCAGATCACTGTACCTACCAGTATAACCTGCCTCAAGACTTGAGTGACGAAGTAAAAACTAACTGAAACAACTGAATGCACCACTAATTAAAGGCAGGGATAACAGAGTAGAGAAAAATTTCACTCTCCTGTGGAGGCTCTCACTTCAGCTGAGCAGCTGCACCCTGGGGGCTGGGGTATCCCCAGCTGGAAAACCAAAGGGTTAAAGATGGAACTTACCTGCAGAGAAAACTCCCTCACTAGTACAAGACTGGGGTCAGATTCCAGAATTACTCCAGATAAACCAAAACCATCTTCACACCTTTCCAATCTTCACAGGCACAAAGATGCCACTGACAGGAATTAACACCAGATGTGCACTGAGCAACCTCCATTGCCATTGCACAGGGAGAGCCCCCTGCCTTGTCCTGCCAAGCCTGGAATGGCCCTGTGATCTTTCACAATCTGGTAGGAGACAAGCAGTGAATGCTTGTGAACAATGCAGCTGCACTAGGAATGTTCCTTCAGTGGCTGTTTCTTCTTCCCTGAAAAACTTCACTGTCCTAAGCACAGGTACACTACTCCACTGAACTACCATTTTCTTCCTAAGGAATTCTTTGTAGTGGACTTCGAAAAAAGGGGCCCCATTTTCTCATCAGAAGCAGTGAATTTGGCAGCTTGCTGCTGTCACCCTGTCACTGCATCTTCAAGTCAGTAAGATACTGAGGTCATTAATTAACTTCTTTCTCCCAAGGCTTTTGCTATGTCCTGTGAGTCTGGGGACTGGTGATATTTTGGTCAGTCAATTAATTTAAAAGGTTAACATCCCAGACTTGAACTTTGGCCATGTGAGCGAGGAGAGATGGCACCCTGCAACATTTGCCAGATGCCCAGACTTTGTACTGCTACACAAAGGTGGGGGTTCCTTGCCTCTGATGAACCAAGTGGGAGGAATGTAATTGCTGCCTGGAGGCAGTCTCACAACCATGGCACCTGGGAGTGCCAGGTGGATGGTGACACACAAAGACAGTGTGCTAGCCCAGGTATATTTCCCTGTGGGTTTCCTGTCCCCGTGCCAGCCCGAGCCAAGCAGCTGCCTGTGGGTGCAGCTCCAGCTTCCTGCAGCCCTGCCACTGACACTGGCCTGGGAAAAAACACTCACCATTGTCACAGGGTGGGACACCCAGTGCTGCCAGACACCTCTGGAGATGCTTCCCTATCCAGCAGCTTCCTACTGCGTGTGCAGCTCTTTCTGACTTCCCTATGACAATCTTGTGCCTATCAGGTCACCTCACATTAGAAACCAATTGCAATGGAAACTCATTTACAAGCTCTATCAATTGCATATTTCCCAAGCATAAAACCAGCACAATCATATGATTTCAGTTCCTTCTTCAGCCTTTTCCATTTTCCTGCCCAGCAGTTCCCACACAGAACATGGGCCTGAGTCACCATTTCCTTGAGTACATTAAGACAGGACCTACCCAACTGCTTTGCAGTGGCACAAGCCCTCTAAATGAAGTAGATGACAACAGTTAATCCAGTCCCAGCCTTCATATGTTAAAGCACTCCTGAGGGCAAACAGTCCTTGAAAGGCAGAGAAAGGATAAGCAAACTCAGCAATGTTAAAAGGATTCAGAGAGGACCAAGCCAAGAGGAAAAACCTCTGGTTTTTAGATGCTACAATATAATTGCAGTTTCAAGGTGGAGTGTCCAGAACAGAGGAGACCATGGAGGTAAATCCACCAAAGTGATTCCAGCTTTAGTAAAATTTTAGTTTAAATATAGCATCTCCAAGCTGTGAACTTACCTGTGCTTCATGTACTTCTCCAGGTCAGAAAATCAATGAGACCAAATTCGTATTGGTGGCTGATGACAATAAATGCATGCAACTTGGCAAGAGAAGGAGGTGGTAGGAAAGGGGAGAAGAGAGGAAACAGATCAGATTTCCTCAAATGGGTGTGAAAGGAGCCAATGGCTTGGTCAAGTCTACCTGAGGAAAAGGTAGATTTGAGCATCCCAGGAGTGGAGCCAGCACAAACTTTGAAGGCTACTGAAGAGCCAGCCCAGAGTCTCAGTTCCAGGAGGAGCTGAAGGGGGAAGGTGGAGCTCTGCATGCATGCCCACAGGCTCGAGAGGCTCCCTGGGGCTCTGCCATGTGTGGCAGGGAGAGCCTTGCAGGCGGCCTGCAAGTCACAGGGAATGGCACATGCTGGACTTAGCATCTGTTACAGAACTGCAGCTGGTTGTATGCAGCACATGTTATTCCATATGTGCCAGCCTGTTCCTCAAGAGACAGGCTGCAATATGGATTTAATTACCTACAGATGTTTCACAGGCAGAGGAACAGCAAGAGATAGAACCCCAAAGAAAGCTGCTGCGGGTGGGAGCCTGTGGAGGCCGTGCTGGCCGCGCTCCCCTGGCAGCAGCAGCAGCAGCAGCAGCAGAGGCACTTTGTGCACATGAGCACAGGGTGCATCTGTCCTGACAGCACGGCTGGCTGGGTCACAGCCTGCTCTTTGCTCCTGCCACTAGCAAAGCTGGGAGGGAAAAGAAAGCAGGGGAGAGAAAGAGGGTCTGCTGGCTGTACAGCTGCACCAGCACAAGGCACTTTGCATGAAGTATCCAGATGTGGCCACCTGTGTGTTTTGACACTTCTCCAGGTAACACGTTCCAGACAGTTCAGCACCAGAATGGGGGCACAGCTGATATGTCCCAAAACCTGGGAAAGCAAATGAGCAGAATTTGGATGGGAGATATCAGACTTCTTTCTCACTTGGATGCTGCCAGTTTTCACAACAGGGCACAGACTTCAGTAGCACCAAATCCAAATGTTTTTTAGAACTCAAGGACTGATGCAGCATAAAAAAGGACAGTCCCAGTACACGACTGAGCGGTGATGTGCCATCAGCACTCAGCCCAGCTCAGTACAGAATCAGTCCCTGTGCATGGGAGGAACAGGAAAGGATTAACAAAATTGATTTACAGTCAAGCTGTGGAAAAACTACACTTGCAGCAAAACTAGCAGCTGCTCAAAACACTTAGGAATTTCCTACTAACTTAGTTGCCTAGGCTTAGGTGAAAACCTCCCTGATTTATATGCTCTATTAAAACTTTGAGAGAAGCCCCTTGTGGGTTTGAAGGAGCCTTGAGCCCTGGAGGGAAGGGAGGGTGGAAGGAAGTGGGCATTCTGGGCAGCACTGGGGAAGCTCTACATGCTTTGTTTACAAACCCTGTACACTTTTTGTTTGGCTTTTGGATGTTTTTTATCCCTTCTCAACTCCCTTTTCATCTCATCATAGTGCCAGCCACACTGATGAGTGTTTATGCTTGTGAATTCCTGAAGCACAGCCAGTACCTTGAACTCTAGAGAATGAGACTGAAATAACGTAAAAGGTCAGGGAAGTTCAAAGACAGAGGTGCTGTTTTCCTAGCTGGGGACACCA